TTTACAAGCAAATGAAAATAATCATATTTACTCTCCTGCAAATGAATATAAAATTACGTCTCTGTGTTCTGGTGATTCGCGTCATCAACTTTTGCACGGTGTTAAAATCAATGTGCCGACAAAGGCACTTTTTTATCCGTTGCGGCTAGTTGCCAAAAATGAYATGAGATAACGATTTTTCTTCTTGGARAACGGTGAACGGAAAACGAACACTCGAATACCTAACGAATAGTCGAATATTCGAATACTCGAACATTCAAATACWCGAATCTTCGAATACTCGATTATTCGAATATTMKTATASMYATTCGAAGTGCTGCTCAAATTTGTTMAAMCAMTAAWYSAATWTTTCAAACARAATTCTTTGGTTCAAAAGAAGACGATCTGACCTAACTTTGATTTTAAAAAAATCCGGTTTTTGTAAARMYSTARTTATCTSAAMAATKACMGWAGTTSSRGAAAAGCTTTCCGTTCTACGTTATGTTCTCTATTAATGTTATAGATAAAACAACCTGAAGAAACTACACAATTTTCAATGCACTGGAGACTTTATTAAAATAAGGTTACTTAAAAAGTTACTGAAGATTCACACGAAAATTGACTGAATAAATAAACAAAAATGGAGTTTTGAACATACATACCTTCGGATTTAGATGCCAGTTCTTTCGAAGAATTTTGTAAAACTTGGTATTTGTCATTGAGGTCATTAAATTTCGATTTGTAATCCCAAGGTGCAATCTTTTTCGATACTTTTGGCTTAGAACATCCATCGTTGTTCACCTTTGATGTTACTAATGGCCTTTTTTGGGCGGCGGCAGCTAATGGCATTCTTGATGAACTAGCGAAGTTTATCTTTGGCTTATCCGTTACGACAGCCCCTCTTAAGTCCGACACTGACTTGGAGCGTCTGGTAAGTCGAGTCGGAACAAATGCCTTATGCCCTCTGCGACCGCACAAAAGAGACGCTCCTTCTTGAATATTTGGTAATTGTGTTTTGTGTATTGGCAGTCTCGATTGATGTGGTCTTTCTGCAGACGGCATTGGAATCTTCCTTTCCATGGTCCTATAATAAAAGAAAATAATTTTGCATCTTTCAAACATACTCAATCGAAACCGTCAACTATGCTCGTCGTGATACGTACTCACACTACAAAAGTTAAAGGCAATACAATCAGTTGCAACACCTCAAAATTATTAATTGGGTCACCTCAAAAACCTCGGATTGTACATAGTTTTTAATTTGAGTTTTGTTGTTGATCTTATATCAACAACTGTCTGGAATATACATATACAGGGTGACCAGAATAACGAAGCATTGCATGGGGATCTCCTAAATCGAAAGATACGTAGTCGGTTAAATTAGGAAAAAGTTGTACAATTAGGGGGCCAGATTCATGGCGTTTTCAGAAAACAAGAATTTTTTTTTAATTTTTAAGATATTTAGAAAAATTTGATTTTTCGCTTTTTTCAACCATCATCAACTTTTGGTTTCCGTATGGACCGACTAACATCTCTTACGGTTTTGGAGATCCTGATGAAATGCATCCTTATCTTGGACACCGTGCATAATATGCTGAATTTTTTTTTCAACAAAATTTTTTTT